GGATCGAGTGGCCGGGCTGGATGGGAACACCTACGAGGTGCTGTTCATTGGCACAGGTAATGCCAGGGCACAGGGCACAGGGATGGGGGGAGAGGGCACGGAGACAGAGCACAGCGGGGACAGGGGACAGAGGGACAGGGGACAGAGGGACAGGGCACAGAGGGACAGGGGGCATAGGGCATTGAGGGGACAGAACACAGAAGGGACAGGGCACAGCAGGGACAGGGGACAGAGGGACAGGGGACAGAGGGACAGGGGACAGAGGGCATTGAGGGGACAGAGCACAGAAGGGACAGGGCACAGCAGGGACAGGGGACAGAGGGATGGGGACAGAGGGACAGGGGACACAGGGACAGGGGGCACAGGGCACAGAGGGGATAGAGCACAAAGGGGGCAGGGCGGAGGGGACAAGGCACAGAGGGGACAGGGGGCACAGGGGACAGGGCTCTGAGGGGACAGGGCACAAAAGGGACAGGGCAGAGGGGGTGGCACAGAGGGGACAGCGGACAGAGGGGACAGAGGGCAAAGGGACGGGGACAGAGAGATGGGGGGCATGGGGACAGGGGGCACAGAGGGGACAATGCACTGAGGAGAGAGCAGGCAGAGGGATGTGAACAGAGGGTCAGGGAACAGAGGGGACCAGACATTTAGGGGACAGAGCACCAGGGGACAGGGGGCAGAGGGGACAGAGGGACAGGGCACCACGGGGACAGGGCACCACGGGGACAGGGCACCACGGGGACAGCCCCCAAGGTGCCCCGTCCCTGAGTGCCCGCCGTGCCTGCCTGCAGGCGATGGCTGGGTGCACAAGGCGCTGGATTTGGGCTCCCGCATCCACCTGGTGGAGGAGCTGCAGGTGTTCGAGCCGGCCCAGCCCGTGGAGAGCCTGGTGCTGGCGGGCACCAAGGTGAGCGGGGCAGGGGTGGCGGTGGCACCGTGGTGGCACCGGGCAGCGTCACCTCAGCGCTGTGTCCCCTTCACTGCTGTGTTCTGTGCCCTTGGCAGAAGCTGCTGTTCGCCGGGTCCCGCTTGCAGGTGGCACAGCTGCCCCTGGCAGACTGCGGGCGCTACCAGTCCTGCACCGACTGCGTGCTGGCACGGGACCCCTACTGCGCCTGGAGCCGCAACGGCAGCGCCTGCGTGCGCACCGACGGGCACAACGGGTACGGCCACGGGGACAGGGGGATGTGGGGACAGGGACAGCGCCCAGGGCACCCTCAGGCTGCGGTGTGGGAAAGGTTCTGCCCCCAGAGAGTGCTGGGCACAGCCCTGAGGCTGCCAGAGCTCCAGGAGCTTTGGATTTTGGGGTGTCTGTGCAGGGATGAACGGGGTGGGAATTTGAGTTGTGTGGCAGGGCCAGAGGTGGGGTCAGTGTCCCTGTGGGTCCCTGGGGAGGGGACAGCACGAGGACCCCCCATCACTGTGCCCTCCTCCCGCAGGTCCCACCTGGTGCAGGACGTGCTGAGCTCCGACACCACTGCCTGCTCCGTGCCACAGGTGGCCAAGCAAGGTGAGAGCCTACTGGTGCCACATGGGTGTCCC